AAGCATCTAGCTATTTCTTACTAGATGTATCTTGATTAATGAATTCATCTGGAGGAGATACAATGTCATTATATAAAGTTTTCTATTGGTTATTTGTTCATTATAAATTCAAGTAGTAATTAAATCATTTTCATAGGTTATAACATGTTCTACTTATGAGATATTAACGCATCTGTTGCATTTTAATAAGTCATTGACTAATTATTAATAGTTTCAGTATAGCATTTTAACTGGTACATAATGCAAAATAAAATTATGAAATTTAAAGCAATTAGTCCCTTTGATAAACTTCGATAGCGTAATAAGAAGACGAAGATTATCAGAACTATATAATATATTAGTGCAATACATTTCGAACAATCCGATCACACATATATTTGGTAAGAACATTTATATATAAAAAAATAAAAGGTCAACTAGACTAGAAATGAAGGATAAGAGGAGACAAAGATGATAATGATAATAATAAAAGTAATAATAGTAATGTGAAAACAATTTGAGACAGTTTGTTCTCACTTTAAAACTACCCTGGTAATATAAGCATATTATCCAAAGTGATCAGCTTTCAAATTGTCTCCATATTATTATTATTATCCTTGTCTCCTGTTACGCTCCATTTACAGTCTAGTAGATCTTTTATTTTTTATATATAAATGTTCTTACCAAGTATATGTGTGATCAGATTGTTCGAAATGTATTGCATTAATATATTGCATAGTTCTGATTATCTTCGTCTTCTTATTACACCATCGAAAATTATGAAATCAAGTAAACTGATATGAATTTTATATTTTTCTTAAATAGAAACAAAGATATTTCAGTGAAGAAAATTTTCTTTTTGACAATAATCTCTCGAGTTATGCAATCATACTTATGAGTAGTTTTTTACGAGTCACAGTCCAAAATATACAGAAAATGTCAAATCATTAAAAAGATAGCTAAACATTTTGAACTATAGAACATAGCAGACTACAATACAAAATGAAATAATGTTGTATTATAATGTTATGTAATAATATCAGACATAATAAGAAATGCCCAAGGTAAGTGTCTACTTCAAATAGATGAAGATGAATTATTACATAATAATTATTGCTCACGGATTTGTAAAAGTTTGAAAGAGTCCGTAATAGGTTTTGGTGATTTCACCACATTATTGTAAATATTTATTATGAAAGAATTAAATAATTACAAAATAAGTGAAAACACAACGTAAAATTTGATTTAGTTTATTTGGATGGAGTTCTGTTCTCTGAGCTGGATGGTTTGGTCGTGGAACTTTCATCGTTCTTCTGAACGACGTCATCGGCACAAACTTCAGATAGAAGTGATGTGTTCGAATTTATCCATATGCGTTTCACAGCTTGTTCCGTACACATCGACGTTGATTGGTTCATATTGACTTAAGGTCGACTTCAAGGTTAATTTTAAGGTCAATAAGAACCAATCAACGTCGGTGTGTACAGAACAAGCCGTGAAAGGCATACGGATAAATTCGAACACTTCACTCCTATCTGAAGTTTGTGCTGATGATGTCGTTCAGAAGAACGATGAAAGCTCCACGACCAAACCATCCAGCTCAGAGAACAGAACTCCATTCAAATCATCCACCTTAGCTACAAATCTTCCCCACCATCTGAAGATTTAATTTATTATTTATGTGAAATACTGAATAATAATAATAGACAAGTAGATGAGATATGGATAATTAAAGTCACCATCACGAAATTATCGAAAGTAATAGAACTAAAGGATATTAATAGTTAAAATTGTTAAACAATAACATGCAAAATAGAAGGTTACATAAATGAAATATAATATAAACGGAACATTAGTTTATTAAGTAAATACAACTAGGAAAGCGAAAAATCATGCCATCTGTTCAGGTGCCTTCGATATATATATATATATATATATATATATATATATCAATGGGCCAAATAATAAATAAAAGTTTAAAAGTGACATTTTAATAATTGATGATTATGAGGTCGAATTGTTAAAGATAACATTTGAATACATAGAAGTCACTTTAAATTATCCTCCTTTTTATTTCGAAAAATTAATGAATCATTTTAAATGATAGATAACTAATTTTATTGAGTTTATAAACCGACGTAAATTAGACAATCATTGTAAAACTTGAAACACTGGATAGTCATTTCATCTTAGTACGGTACCCATCAGCACTATCACGACTTCATAGTCGAACACAGGACGTGTGCTCAGAAGCTTAATCTTTCGGCCAGTGAGATAAGATCCAGTGGTGTACATGTCCACTTCCAACCAATTCACGATACTGAACGACCGTCTTAAATCGTTCTTGGTGATTAACTTCCTCACACTACTTCATCACTTACTAGTTTTACATTCCTTAATAATTTTCATTTTGCTTTTTAACATAACAGTAAATCTATAAATTTCATATGCTGTAACTAGAATACCTTACACAGGAGTTATCCGCAACTGTCGGTTATTGACATGTTAAGTGTAGCATATCTAGGAATGGCGGATAAAAAACACAAATCTAGTAATAATTGAGGTTCGATGTGAAAATTTATTGAAATTACAAATCTCTATGTAGTGGTCACCCACTAAAAGAAAGGAAAATTTATAGAAATATTTAGGTTTGATACATATACTTGACATGAGTACTTTACAAGTAACCTGAGTTTAAAATTCTCTAACTTTAATCAATTCATCATATAACGTGACTTACATCAAATGGTATCGTTAAATCAATGCCTCATAGGCATTTTTCCTTTATCTGGTAAAATACAGCTTCTTAATTAAACGATGGGAAATTTATATAGTATTAATTTACTAGAGAAAAAGCTGTCGTTTTATAGTTATATGCTTCGTGTAGATTTGTTTAATTAATAAATACATTTTCATGACTAACGTAATATTATATCTTTCTTGAGAGTGGAATGTCTTATCCCCAATTTCATATGTGGATGTCAGTGTAAGCTGGGCCGTAATCTCAAATCCATTCAGAGTATTCATTTAATGCTTTCTGATTTTCAGTAATATCCTATGTGATTTCAGCATTTGTTGAAAGTTGCACCTGAATCAAGAATAATCCTCTATGTAACCACGCCAGAAATTGATAGAAATGGCCTAAAACATACTATTAAGAATACTTAATATCAAGGCAGAAATCAGCTGCAAAACTATTGAAAACTAGGGAACACAGACTAGTTGTCTCATTCTAGGTTTGATTTCTTCTAAACAGTTCACTCTGGATGACCTGGAAATTTAGGTCTGGTTTTCATTATTTTTATGTTTAGATAGTCTATTGAAACTTAGTATTTCATATTATTTATCAGTTTGGAACAATATACAGACGTAATTCAACACCGATGGAAGTATATACTATGCAAGTCAAACTGACTTAACTCGCCGGTTGAATAAACAGTCTGAGGTTAAGTTTAATACAGAAAACGTATGAAAAACGAATGAATGAAAAACGGCAAATCCCTTCCTTAAGTAAAACAAACAACCGATTTTTAATGTACCATGTATTTCATTAAAATCAGAGAACAAATTTCATATAACTCCCTAAGACCTGAGATATACACATCATTAACTGAATAAATAATCTGTTCTTTAAATGTAATAAGGCAACTATAGTATGCAACATATGAAAAGTAAGGAAAATGATAAGTTTGGAAGCAGTGTTTGGACTGTTTACATGCTAGACTTATTTTTACTAGATCAAATCAACACATTTAGTGTCATGGTAGAATACATTTTATCTAGGGTGTGGTGTTGCATCTATAGTCACTTAACAGAACAGGAACGCTTTTTTAAATGTAAAAGTTATCTATGTCAGACCACCATGGGAAGCCTGGAAGTACTGGATAGCCGTTTCGTCCTGGTATGGAACTCGTCAGAAGTGCGCATATACGATTCCACACACGGGATTCGAACCCAGGACCTTTGATCTCACTCACGAACACTTAGCCTCTAGACCATTGAGCTGATATCCAGGTGTGGTAATGTCTCGCCAATGTCAACGAGTCCACAGTGTTGTGCAATCATTCACCACTGTCTTCAATGAGTAACTGCTTCACAACATACACGGTTGAACTCCACTGGTCACGGATTTCCTCGAGTTCTAGCGTAAAGTCGTGACCAATGGAGTTTAACTGTGTCTGTTGTGAGGTAGTTACTCACAAAAGTTATGTTTTTCTAACAATTTAATATTCTTTGATGATTTCTTTTTGAGAAAAAGAATAGTATTACAATATTCTAAATAAACAAATCTAATAAGCCACGTTAATAGCTAGAAGAATCAACTTTATACTCTGAACGCTTATTTAGCTAAATTTATGAAAACGAACTGATTTTCTACAATATCACTCTGGACAAAGTTTATCAATATGTCAAATAAGTATTTCAATTGTAATGATTGATTTATAATTTCTCAATATTTGATAACATTTAAGTCATATAAAATCACATAATTATGTCTCATAATTTCATTTACTCATCATGAGTCCAATTTAATTTGGAATTATAATTAACCACTATGATAACAACGGACCAATTAAAATCTCTAATAATGAAAGACTCTCTTCCATAAAAGTCCATATTGAATAATAATAATAATAATAATAAAGTCTATGTACATATTACATGGATACTTTTGAAATTGACAATTCACAGTAAAATGTATTTCCTCTTGTATTTATTTTAAATTACATGCAAATTCTCCCAACTTCAAATAATGATTCACTGAGTATGATAATAATTATTAATTCATGTTTCCCTATTCGTGTATGTATGCATCCATGTATATCATTAAGTACACAGAAATATACTATGTGTGTGTGTACACATGTTGTATATGTTTGCTTGGAGAGTATAACTTAGTTGACTCACCTGTCTTTCTCCCATTGCCGTTACAACCTATAAGATTTTTTCTATCAGTTTTATATGATTTCTAGTCATCATAACAGGTAATGATGATTCCATTCTCTACATGAGTTTATTTTAGAATATTTGAGAAATTATCATCGTTTATAGTTTAGTTCATATTTATTCTTATGCATGATTTGATGACATTATATCTCAATAATTAGATGACAATATATTTTGAATGTTCAGAAAATGTGATAAAATTTAATCACCAGCATTACATTGAACTTGATTAAGTTTATGAAATGATTTACTCAATCTTGTACATTATAAATTGTCTACAAGCATTATGTACTTGTTGTGAATTGAATATATCGCCTTTATTTAACTTTTGGATTGAAGAAAATATTGAAAAAGGTACTTTTATTGGCAGGCTATCATTGTCATCATCAACATCATCATCGTTATCGCCAACAGAAACAGCGATAGCAGATACTTCAGTATCATCGATTGCCTTAACTCCAATGGATTCAAAATATACATCTTCATATACCTGTGTCTATACTAGTTTAGCTCAACAGCCTATTTCAAACTATTTTCATATTGATTCCAATGATGGTTCTATATATGCCCTAAGAAAAATCGATCGTGAAGCTTTATGTGATGAATATAGTTTATTAGAACGTGTTAAAAAACATACTATAGATAGGATAAAAACTGATCAACACTCATTGAATAACAATACTATCGACATTGATAAACTCAATGGAAATCAATCGAAAGCTGAAACTTTCAAGACAACAACTACTAGAACAGATAATTCCAGATACTACAGGAATGTTAATCACGAACTTGATATGGTGAGTCAGCCAATGACAACAAGCGTATGTCAAGTTAAATTCCAAGTACTTATCAGTGATACTACTGGGTTAAAATCAAAAAATAATGTATTGCAAGATGTACAAATTACAATATCTGATATAAATGATAATGAGCCAAAATTTGACTTACAAAATTTTTCATTAAAAATACCTGAAACTTCTCCAATTGATGCGGAATTTCGTTTACCACAAGCAACTGATCGAGATACTAGTGTGAATGGAATATCAGAATATCGATTGGTTCCATGTATTGATAAAAAAGATAATGAGAAATTTACATTATATCCTTATTCTTGTCATAAGCCTATGACAACTCTAAAACAGATATATTCAAACATCAATATATTTATTAACCAACATGACAGGAGATTATCCACTGAATACAATGAAGAATCTTTACAAAAAAACTATGCTGGCGATTATTTCATGCTAAAAACGTATTCAAGATCTAATGGAAAACTACAACCAATTTTAAAACAAATTCGTCTTCTAGACAGAGAACAATTTCAGTGGCTATATCTGTGTTTGATAGCTGTAGATGGTGGTGGTCAACAAGGCGCTACATGTGGTTATATTGAAATCATTGATGCGAATGACAATGTACCCCAATGGATTGGTTTACCATATAAAGTATCGATTAGTGAATGTGAACAAGATTATCAGCAAGCATACATCGATAGTAGTAGTAATAATAATAACTATAATATGTTTAGGTCACAAATATCATCACTTCGATATTTATATACATTAAAAGCTATGGATACTGATAGTGGGATATACGGACAAATAACTTATCGATTAGCGCAAGATAATAATTTCGAGTCTGCGAAAACTCACAATCACAAACCCAAAGTAATAATTAAAGAAAATAAATTATATTTACTTTCTAAATTAGATTATGAGCAGTTAACTAAATTTGTTGTTTATGTTGAGGCTATAGATGGTGGTGGATTGTTGAATTTTACGGAAGTTGAAGTCACTGTTGAAGATTGTAATGATCATGCGCCTACAATAATGCTAATTCCTGTAAAGTCATCACTATCACATATTACTGACAATAATTATAGTAATAGTATAAATATCAATGCCAAGAATTCACTGTCATCATCTTCATTTGCATCATTATCAGGATTACCTGTCTCCAATAATGTGGAGTCATTGTGGATAGAGGAGGAAAATTACGATCAAATTAAGTTAGCCACAGTTATGTCATTTGATCGTGATAAAAAAGACAGTGGTCGTGTAACATGTTATCTAGATAAATCTGGACAATTTGTAAACACTATCGATTACAGTCAGTTATTTGAATTAATACCAAGTCAACCAACATTTGGTGCACTCAGTACAAATACTAACAAAGGTTTAAGTAGTATGAGGCAAAATGATATATATGCTAATATTACATCGTCAGATAAACCATCAATATTTAGTTTATATAAAAAAAGTGGGGTTAAAATTGATCGAGAAGAAACTCCAAAGTTATCAATTGATATTGTTTGCACGGATAATGGAGAAGTGAATCCACAAACAACTAGACGAACATTACATATTTTTATTAAGGATATCAATGATCATACACCACGTATTTTAACAACAACTACTAATACCGTTACTTCGACTATTGAAAAAATGAATGATCCATTGGAACATTCAATTAGTACTGGAATTAACAGAGAAGGAAAAGATGAGAAACAGTTTATAAGTCAAATCTTTAGTGTACCAGAAAATGAACCATTTGGTACATATGTTGGTACAATTATAGCCAAAGATGATGATGAAGGTATTAACTCACAATTACTTTACAGTTTTACATTGTTACCTGATGATAATGTCACTGATGAAGTGAGTCCACAGAATTTATTCGAAATCGATAAACTAACTGGTAGAATAACCACATGTATCCCACTAGATCGTGAAACACAGTCAAGTTATTTATTGAATGTTCAAGTAATGGATTCTGGTATCCCATCATTATCATCAACAACTAGAATACGAATAAATGTAGCTGATGTTAATGATATGCCACCAGTATTTGAAACTACAGATCCTAGTGGCAGGATTATATTTCAGTTAACCGAATCAGTGGGTAATCGTCGTGTACATGGTCGACTAGTTGGACGTCTTAAAGCATATGATAATGATTTAGGTTCAAATCAAACTATTCGTTATGCAATTGTTAATGGTTCCCTTTCTCCAATTCACTTACCAGTTACTTATCGTGTATCATTAGATGGTAATATTTATGCAGATGGTGTAATGGATAGAGAACTATTTCGTGAACATCAATTCACAGTAATTGCATATGATGCTGGGCCAATAAATCAACAATTAACTAGTACTGCACTAGTTTTAATTAAATTACTCGATGTAAATGATAATCCACCACAATTTATACATCCATCAACGTCAGTATCAAATAAAATTCCATCAGATTTAATTAATATAACTATTGATACTTCACCTGGAACTATTCTTTATTCAATACAAGTAACTGATTTAGATGAACCAAAACATACTAAATTTAATTTTACATTACATTCAGCTCGTTTTTTATCTGATTATTTTTTATTAAAACCAAATGAAATACAAATATCTGAAACAAATAGTTATAGTGAAGCAAGTGCAGATTTAATTTTAGTTAATTCTCTAACACAATTACTACCAACATATAAAACTAAGTACACAACAACAATGAATGAAGTTCATTTAAATATGAAATTAAATATTGAACAAACGAATTCATCTATTCTATCGTCATCATCATCATCATCATCATCAACAACAACAACAAATAATAATAATAATAATCAACATTATCCAATCGAATATTTTTTGTATATAATTGTTAAAGATAGTGATAAAGAGGTAGGATTTACATCGACTGCACGTTTACGAGTACATGTGTATGTTGATAATATATTAACACCTTCCTTATCATCAAATATAATTACATATAGACAAAATTTCAATTCATCAATGAATTCTGAATTAGCATCATTAAGTGATACTGAAATGTATAAAATTAATTCTGATCGATTATATAATGATGAAAGATTAAATTCATATGGTGCTGAATTAAAAGATAATACACAACTATTTCAAAATAAACTTACTACTACTCATAATAACAATAGTAATATGACTATTTTATTCATTGTATCTATTATTATCATTTGTATGTTTATTGGAGTATTTTGTTCAATAGTTATTTTTTATATTCGTGGAAATATATCTAATTGTCAAGAAGTAAATCGTCCTAGATCATCAGAATTATATACAACTACACATAAAACATGTTCAGATAATTGGTCAGTTGGAGAATTAAGTGAACAATGTAAAGTACCATCAAGTTGGGAAACATTAAATTGTAAAGGTGAGTATTATTAATAAAATTATTTGAAAGTTTTGCAAATAATAATTATTGTCTACAAATATACCTTTATATAAGATTTATTTTGTTATTAAGGAAGAGTTAATTATAGTTTAATAATTGATATTAAATATGAACTTTCTAAGCAAAGATGGATAGTGGCTAGTAGTGGAATCTAGTATTCCCGTTTCATCCTATTTGGAACTCGTCAACCGGACGTACCTACATTGATGTACACTCTGAGACTCGAACCCAGTACCGTTCGCTTCAAACGCCATCGCGTTATTCAATTAGTTACTGAGTCTTGAGAGCCACCTGCTTGTTCAATGGAGTGATGTTTAAATCAACACTAAGTGAACATGAACTCTGGGATACAAGTACATCCAGTTGACGAGTCCCAAATAGGACGAAACGCGCGTCCTGGATTCCACTGCTAGTCACTATCCATCTTTGCTTAAAAAACTTGTGACTTGAGTCCACATGGGGGCAATCCGTACAGGGTGCATATATGCCAACAAGCGACTGATCAATTGCAGTCCTAAATAACAATGGGAAGATACAAGTAAAACAATACCAATCAAATTTAAGTATGAACTTGTAACAAGAATAACTTTATAGAATCCCTTATAGTTTAAATATGCAGTTTAATATTTCCTTGTTTGAAATCTTGAACAGTGTAGACTTGTTTAATTGTCCAATTAAGTGAATGATGTTATCGTTTTTTTTTTCCATAGGATCCAGTAAATAAGTTGTTTCATGGAAACAGTAGATTCCTTAATTTATCCAATTATTCGCAATTCGTTTTTAGTCTAAAAGTTGTAATAATAGTCTATGAAATTAATGATGGTTCAAAACTAAAGAAAAATCTATTTTAGAATAAATCTTACATGAATTTCATATTAATTTCGTAGAAAGTACTTTTCTTTTAAAAAGATATGTGAAAATTGTACCCTAATACAATTTGTATACAGTTTACTATTCTCTAATGATGATCAAACTATTGTACAGTAATCACTGATTTTCAAAGTGATTAATTTACGTTGACAATCATGAATTATATAGAATGCATTGAAATGAACTTTTTCTCTTCGATAAACAAATATAAACTAATTATTTGTAATGTACGTAATGTACGTAAATGTTATCCCATTCAATTAGAAAGATAATATACTTAATTTTCTTAAGTAATTATCAACACTTTTTGTTAATAAAAACTTTAGAATTGTTAAATTCATTTTGAATTGTTTGTTTGAATCTTCCTATTAATGTTTAGGACTGCAAATGATCAGTCTCATATTGGCATATAAGAATCGTGTACGGATTGCCTCGATATTACATTAAGTCATAAGTATTATAAGCAAAGATAGATGGTAGCTAGGAGTAAAATCCAGGATACGCGTTTCATCCTATTTGGGACTCGTTAGCTATCAGGAACTAATAGTTAAGTGGATAACATGATAGAGTTTGAAGAAAACGGTAGTGAGTTTAAGTTCTGGTGTGAACATCAACTCTACGTTGGAGCTACATCCAGCCGATGAGTCCCGAATAGGGCGGAACTCGAGTCCTGAATTCCTCTGCTAACCATCATCCATCCTTGTTTAGAAATGTTATTTCATCATTTTTTTCTACTGGTTATTTCTAAGCAATAATAGTAATTACAAATCCTAGTAATAAGTAAAAACGATAATTTTAACCTTTCTGACAATTTAATATTGTTGAATAAATTAGGGTCAAATAATAGAACAGATCAATATTCTGTTAAAATAGTTTGTTTGCTTGTTTTTTATGTTCCATAGAAGGGTTCTCTTTATTTTCATTGTTCATTAATAAATAATTTGTTATCGAAATTATATTGCAGATTAGGAAAGTATCATAGTTACCTTAAGATTTTGGTTCAATTCCTGGTAGGTTAATCGGTACACATTTTCAAGAAGTCTCATATTAGAATAAAATAGCTTTAAAACGCTTCTTGATTTTTAATAGTTCACTAACAGGAAACAGTGTGGGATAAAAATTATGTCATCGTTAACTGCTTTTTTTTCATAAAAGATAGGTATAATTTATAAGTGATGTTTCTTTTTGTAGGGATTGGTTGGAAAAAAGTTAGGGGAGTCCAAACCAAAACGTAGCATCAGTACACAAAGTCACTCACTTCTAGTCTGAGCCATGGTGGTAGATGCACACTACAAGGTTGGAGTCCGCTTGCCTATCATAACCAATGATTGGAGACTGTGAGTGACATGACTCAGAATCAATGACAATAGCATCGGTGTACACACTCTCTGTCTTCCCTTAAACTATGGGATTAAAATTGCTTCATATCTTTCTTTCTACCAATCAATTCTTTCTTCCTATACTATGTCCTTTTATGCAATCTTTCTTTCATATATTACCACTACTGAATGAACTACTTCTATGAATCTGGTGTTCATCTTGTCGTGCTAATGAGCTATGGCAAATTGGACCGATGCAATAACTAGACAACTATAATCGTGAGGTCAACTCATGTTTATGGAATTCAAATGCTAATATCTTAAATATTAAAGATTTTGCTATTCTGTAAATTAATTGAGGTTACAAATTTGAACAATTAAGTTCCGAATCAGAAGTCTAATAATATATCAGTCTATCAGACCTTAATGAAAATATTTTTCATACTATTTAATTTATAGGATTCAATTAGGACTGTAGAGTGAACAACACAACATTAAATAATGTTTAATGATCAATTTGTGTAAAAATTTAAGTTTTACAAACTTAAATAACATTTGACTATGACTATAAAACTAAAATTTATAGCCTTAAATTCTATAACGAGTATTAATTTCTTGGAATATGAAGATACCTATAACTGATACATTGAAATTAAAGATCCTTATGATAATACCACTGAAAGAAATTATATTCACACATATTACAAAATGATCTTCAATTTAAATAAAATAAAATAGAATGATTCTACAATGCTATTTGCATTTAAACTAAGTTAGTAACTGATTCTGAAATGTTATCAGTTAAGTTTGTTAAACAGTTCAAATCGAATATATTAATATGATTTGAAAAAAACATCAACACTCCAGTAAATATCATTCACATGCTAGAAACAACTTCTAGAACATTTGTTACCTAGACAACATTTGAAATGAATAAAGTATAATTTTTTCACTAATAAAATTTTGTAGTGATTTGATAATTCTATAGAAACTATATGGAATATTCATACATCCGGTTAGTTCATTTATACTTTTCAATATATATAGAATAAAATGTTAGTTTAAAGAAATCCACAAGAGGATTATATTAATGCATAATGGGTAAACATATGCAAGAAATTGAGAAAGTTATCATCATCGGTTATTTCTTTTGTTTTTTTTAAATCAGTTTTTAAAAAATACATTAATTGAAGGTTTTAGTAGATATGAAATGGAATTAACTTTACCAAAATTTTAACCGTTTCTAGAAAAACCTTCATCTGAATATTCAACATTCTCTGTATTTATTCATTATAGACTTAAGCATAATATAGTTCTTTAATTTTTCTATTATTCATCACTTTCGTTGGTGATAAGGCTTAAAAATTTCATAGGAATCATCATCATATCAATCAACCGAAGACTGATTGCGCACAGTTTCTAATGTTTTGTTTCCAGGTAATAAACGATAATTAAGGAATTCAATTGAGATCATGAATCGATTGATGTTAGACCATCATTGAAAACCTGAAAGCACTAGACGTACATTTCGTCCTAGTATGGGACTCATTAGCAGTGAGCAATTTCATGCATTGGTTGAAGTTAAACATTAACACAGTGTGATATCGGCTAGGTGGTTTATAGGTTAGGCGTTCGCGCTCTGGATCGAAGGTCCTGGATTTGAATCTCGCGAGCGGGATAGTGAATGTACACTGCTGAGGATTCCCTTACTAGAACGAAATGGCCGTCCAATGCTTCTAAATTTTCGATGGTGGTCTAACATCAATCGATTCATGATCTCGGTTAAAAACCTAGCAATCTCCACAACCCCATACTGATAAGGAATTCAGGTTGCATATTCTAATCGACACTCATTTTCAAGATGACTCTAAAAAATCGAAAGAAATCCAAGACATTTAATGTTATATTGAGAAGAGTTATTACTTAGCTATTGTTGCCTTGTTCGTATTTCTGTATGACTGAAAAATTTACACAAATTAGCTTCTGTATAAAAAAGAAGTCATTTTGTATAATCTTGAAATATAGTGTGACTACTAGGCTGTGATTACTTCATTGTAATGAACTTTATTTAATAATCACAGTAACCACTAGAAAGGTCTTATACTCATGGTAAATCATACAACATTGTAAATTCAGTTTTTTACTTATCTTTATTTATCTTAATAAGAATCTATATTTTGTTGGGTCATATGTTTGTTATTATTATTCTTGAAATAGATAAAATTGAATAGGTCAACTATATTCCTTTAGTTATCGTTAATCTATTTAATGCGTATTATCTTTATTTATTGGTAGACTAATGGGAACAAATTGATAAGCGTAAATTTACTGTCATGGAATTTACTGTTAATATGATATATAATGTTTTTTGTAGGTGTGGTGTTACAATAATAATAATAATAATAATAATTATTATTATTATTATTATTATTATTACTAAGTGATGAGTCATTATAAGAATCTAACCATTTATTACCAGATTTATCTGAATAAGTTTGTTCAGGTCAATTAATATTCTTCTGTAGTGCTTCTTCCCCTCCAAAAAATTGAAACTTTTAAATAATAACTAATGTTTATACAGGATATTTTTTATTTGTTTGCCCAAAATAATCAACACAATAGATTTAAAAATAAACAAACAAACAAAACAATTGATATGTTAATTTTTGTTTTATCTAATTGTAAACAAAACATATCATTTCCTTGTTCACTTTGTTTAAAGTTAGTTTGTTTACATTTGAATAACTAACTGAAAATGAATGAGTTCTGCTACAGTTAATTAGTCCTGAT